CACACCAGCAGTGTGAGGAGACCTGAAAGTGGCACATGGCAGAGTGTGGCGATGGAGACAGCAGCAATGGGAGGCCGTACAGGGACCCATGAGACACTCTGGACCTGGCAGCAGCATGAGGAGGCGGTACGGGGGCCCATGGCAGATTACGGGCCTGGCAGCAGCAATGGGAGGCCCGTAATCTGCCAGCACCCTATGACAAAATGGAACCCACCAGCAGTGTGAGGAGACCTGAAAGTGGCACATGGCAGAGTGTTGCGATGGAGACAGCAGCAATGGGAGGCCGTACAGGGACCCATGAGAGACTCTGGACCTGGCAGCAGCATGAGGAGGCGGTACAGGGGCCCATGGCAGATTACGGGCCTGGCAGCAGCATGAGGAGTCGGTACGGGGGCCCCATGGCAGATTACGGGCCTGGCAGCAGCAATAGGAGGCCCGTAATCTGCCAGCACCCTATGACAAAATGGAACCCACCAGCAGTGTGAGGAGACCTGAAAGTGGCACATGTTTGGGGCATGATTCATGGCGGATTTAGTCAGTTGTGTCAGGAACTGGTGGTTTGAAATCCAGACTAATCCACGCCTGATTCATTTTCACAAACGTGAGTCTCTCCACACTTTGGGTGGACAGTCGTGTCCTCCGCGGAGTTACAATACCTCCTGCCGCACTAAACACGCGCTCCGATGCCACGCTACTGGCCGGGCATGACAGCCTTTCAAGGGCAAATTCAGCTAGTTGGGGCCAAAGGTCAAGTTTCGTTGCCCAGTAGTCAAGGGGATTGTCTACCTCGGTTGGCAGGCTGCTGTCCAAGTAGGCCCAAGCCTGTTGTTTGAGGTCCTGCTCCAGGTCCACCTGATGCTGCTGCTGCTGCTGCGGCTGGTTAGTAGTTTCCTCACTGCGCTGGTGAAGAAAGCTACTCATCATCGACTGCAGACTGAGGCAGCCGCTGCTGGTGGAGCTGCCACTGCTCCTACCACCCCATCCCTCCCCTGCTGCCATGGCAGCGTAACGCGAGCGCACAGGGCCCACAGTGTCTGGGGATGGACGTTGGCGCAGAAAGGCAGAGACCAACTGACTACATAGGTGGTTTTTATAGTACGTTATTTTGGCCTCCCTCTCAGCAGGTGTGAAAAAGGCCACCATTTTTGAACGGTAGCGAGGGTCCAACAAGGTGGACAGCCAAAAGTCATCCCTCTGTCTGATGGTTATTATTCGGCTGTCGCTACGCAAGCAACCGAGCATGCTATGGGCCATTTGTGCCAAGGAATGCAAGGGACTCCCTGCCTCCATCTCCACAGCATACTGCCACGGTGCGTCTGGGTCCTCTGTCTCCTCCTCCTCCTCTACCAGATGCTCCTGCTCCTCCACTCCTGTCCGCTGAGTGGAAAAACCACCCATTTCACTCAATAATTCCTGAGCACCAATGTCCTCCTCTACCTCCTCCTCTTCTTCCTGTCCTGCCCCCACAGGGGTCATGTGGCGTTGAGATCTGTGCGCCACGTCTACCTCACCCTGACCAGCCATTGTTAACAGCATTTGTTCCAGGACGTGCAACAGAGGAATGACGTCGTTCATCCCATAGTCCTGCCGACTCATGAATAGCGTGGCCTCCTCAAAGGGCCTGAGCAAGCGGCAGGTGTCACGCATGAGCTGCCAATGGCTGACATCGAAGTTACACAGGGGAGTACCTTTATCCGCTTGTAACATCAGGAAATCGGTGATGGCCTTTCGCTGTTCGTAAAGGCGGTCTAACATGTGTAGGGTTGAATTCCACCTTGTTGCAACGTCGCAGATCAGGCGATGCTGTGGAATTCCGTTCTGCCGCTGCAGCTCAAGGAGGGTGTGCTTTGCGGTGTAGGAATGGCTGAAATGCATGCAAAGTTTACGTGACATTTTAAGGATGTCTTGCAGTGGGATGGTGGATTTTAGGAACCGCTTGACAACCAGATTGAACATGTGAGCCATGCATGGCGCATGGCACAACCTTCCTTGACGCAGAGCAGACACCATGTTCTTTCCGTTGTCGGTCAACATGGTTCCGATTTTCAGTTTGCGCGGAGACAGCCATCTGTCGATTTCTCTGTTCATTACACTGAGAAGTTCCTCCCCTGTGTGACTACGTTCGCCAAGGCATACCAGGTGCAGCACAGCGTGACACCGTTGCGCCCTGCACATGTGATATGCCGGTCGGGTAATGGACTTGGCACGGGGGGTGGCGGCTGAGGACACGGCGGAAGAAGAGGTGGTAGAGGCGGACATCTTTTGTGGACCAAGGACGTGCAAACGTGGAGGCAAAAGCGGCGGGACCTGTCCAAGTTGCTGGTGCGGCTGTGCCGGCACCACGTTCACCCAGTGGGCCGTAAATGACATGTACTGTCCCTGACCGTAGTTACAGCTCCACACGTCGGCGCTGCCGTGCACTTTGGCAAAGACCGACATGCTCAAAGACTGGCCCACCATCTCTTCTACATGTGAATGCAGGGCTGGCACTGCCTTTTTGGCGAAGAAATGCCGGCTTGGCACTCTCCACCGCGGCGCGGCACAAGCCATCATTTCTCGGAAATGTGCTGAGTCCACCACTTGGAAAGGGAGGGACTGCAGCACCAGCAACTTGGACAGGAGGACGTTCAGCTTTTGCACCGTCGGGTGCGTGCTCGCAAACTGTTGTCTCTTGGAAACGGATTCCAAGAAAGACTGCTGACGGAATCCGTGAAGAGGAGAGTAGCAGGAGAAGGAGCATCTGAACGAGCGGAAGATGCCAACGAGCGACAACTCCCCTCAGCAGAGGTGTTGGAGCCTTGACTGGCTGATAGAGGGCGATTGACGTCGGGTGACGGAGCAAGTAACGGAGCGGGTGATGGAGCGGGGGCTGGGGCAGGTAGAACCGCCGTATCTTTATCACGGTTTTCCCAGGCCACCAAATGGCGACGCTGCATATGCTGACGCAACGCTGTAGTCCCAACATGGGCCCCCTGGCCACGCTTGACTTTCTGGCCACATAGTCGACATACGGCTACGTTTACTTCCTCGGGCGGCTTGACGAAAAATTGCCACACCGCCGAGTAGGAAACTTTGCCCCTGCTACTCCTCACTGGCTGACTGCTACTTCCTCCGTGCACACCGGCACCACTACTGGCCGTGGTGGTAGGCTGCAGTGGAGCTGGTGCTCTACTCCGTGGCCGTTTGGCTCCACTGACACTGCTGCGACCCTGCTGCCTCCTGGGCAACCCACCGACTGTTTTGCTCGCTGCCAAGCTGGCACCCTCTTCTCCTGATGATGCGGAAGCAATAGCCTGAGTAACAATTCTGTGTCTGTCCCTGAGTAACAATTCTGTGTCCCTGAGTAACAATTCTGTGTACCTCAGTAACAATTCTGTGTCCCTCAGTAACAATTCTGTGTCCCTGAGTAACAATTCTGTGTCCCTCAGTAACAATTCTGTGTCCCTCAGTAACAATTCTGTGTCTCTCCCTGAGTAACAATTCTGTGTCCCTCAGTAACAATTCTGTGTCCCTCAGTAACAATTATGTGTCCCTCAGTAACAATTCTGTGTCTGTCCCTCAGTAACAATTCTGTGTCCCTCAGTAACAATTCTGTGTCCCTCAGTAACAATTCTGTGTCTGTCCCTGAGTAACAATTCTGTGTCCCTGAGTAACAATTCTGTGTCCCTCAGTAACAATTCTGTGTCTGTCCCTGAGTAACAATTCTGTGCCCCTGAGTAACAATTCTGTGTCCCTCAGTAACAATTCTGTGTCCCTCAGTAACAATTCTGTGTCTGTCCCTGAGTAACAATTCTGTGTCCCTGAGTAACAATTCTGTGTCCCTCAGTAACAATTCTGTGTCTGTCCCTGAGTAACAATTCTGTGTCCCTGAGTAACAATTCTGTGTCCCTCAGTAACAATTCTGTGTCCCTCAGTAACAATTCTGTGTCTGTCCCTGAGTAACAATTCTGTGTCCCTCAGTAACAATTCTGTGTCCATCAGTAACAATTCTGTGTCTGTCCCTGAGTAACAATTCTGTGTCCCTGTCAGGGCTCCCAGGTATGACCAGAGGTGTGTGACTGAAGCAGGGAAACGCAGACTTCAGATATGTGATTAACAATGTAATTTATTAACACTAACAATACAAACTTAAACGCAGTGCAATACTAAACATAATACAGTGCAAACAAACCCAACCAACCACCCACAGATAACAGTACATACAAGCAAGCGTCGTCAGGCAGGCCGAGTCAATATCAATTGGGCAGGTAGGTACAGGGGGAGCAAGCGGAGAATGGTCGGGGTCACAGGCCAGGTTCAGCAGGTAGCAAGCAGCGTAGTACAGAGGGTCAGGCAGAGGGATGGTCAGGGTCACAAGCCAGGGATCAGAACAGGTAGCAAGCAGCGTAGTACAGAGGGTCAGGCAGAGGGATGGTCAGGGTCACAAGCCAGGGATCAGAACAGGTAGCAAAGGAACAGAAACAGGATGCAGGACAGATACAGGGCCCAGGACAAACACAACACCAAGGCAGAGTCTGCAAGTCTGGCCATCCCTTAAATACACCAGTATCATCAGTTCCAGGTGTTAGCTGGCTGAAAGGTTGAGTCTCTGATTGCTGGGAGCACCCGCTGGCCAGCCCTGGTACTGCAGATCAAAAGGCAGGTGAGTCCCACCATTGCTGGCCAGTCCATTCCTGACAGTACCCCCCCCTCAAGGAGCGGCCTCAGGACGCTCCAAACAGTCCTAGCTGGGAAAAATGTTCCACCGCCCGGGTCTGGTAACTGGCGGGATATCAAAGACTGGCACACCGGGCAGGACTCCGGGCAGCGGTACACCGGGCAGAGGCACATCGGGCTGGACTCCGGGCAGAGGCACATCGGGCTGGACTCCGGGCAGAGGCACATCGGGCTGGACTCCGGGCAGAGGCACATCGGGCTGGACTCCGGGCAGAGGCACATCGGGCTGGACTCCGGGCAGAGGCACATCGGGCTGGACTCCGGGCAGAGGCACACCGGGCAGAGGCACATCGGGCTGGACTCCGGGCAGAGGCACATCGGGCAGGACTCCGGGTAGAGGCACATCGGGCAGGACTCCGGGCAGAGGCAATCGGGCAGGACTCCGGGCAGAGGCACATCGGGCAGGACCCCGGGCAGAGGCACATCGGGCTACCAGGCGAAGCGGCAGGCAGCGGGCCACCGGGCGGAGAGGCAGGCACCGGGCCCCCGGGCGGAGCGGCAGGCACCGGGCCCCCGGGCGGGGCAACAGGCCTCGGGTCCCCGGGCGGGGCGACAGGCCTCGGGCCCCCGGGTGGGGCGACAGGCCTCGGGCCCCCAGGCGGGGCGACAGGCCTCGGTCTCCCAGGCGGGGCGACAGGCATCGGGCCCCCGGGCGGGGCGACAGGCATCGGGCCCCCAGGCGGGGCGACAGGCATCGGGCCCCCAGGCGGAACTACAGGTCTCGGGCCCTCAGGCGGAGCGGCGGGTGCCGGACCCCCAGATGGAGCGACAGGCCTCGGGCCCCCAGGCGGAGCGACAGGCATCGGACCCCCAGACGGGGCGACAGGCATCGGGCCCCCAGGCGGGGCGACAGGCATCGGGCCCCCAGGCGGGGCGACAGGCATCGGGCCCCCAGGCGGGGCGACAGGCCTCGGGCCCTCAGGCGGAGCGGCGGGCGCCGGACCCCCGGGTGGGAGCGACAGGTCTCGTGCCCTCAGGTGGAGCGGCGGGCGCCGGACCCCCAGGTGGAGCGACAGGCATCGGGCCCCCAGGCGGGGCGACAGGCATCGGGCCCCCAGGCGGGGCGACAGGCATCGGGCCCCCAGGCGGAGCGGCGGGCGCCGGACCCCCGGGTGGAGCGACAGGTCTCGGGCCCTCAGGTGGAGCGGCGGGCGCCGGACCCCCAGGTGGAGCGACAGGTCTCGGGCCCTCAGGCGGAGCGGCGGGCGCCGGACCCCCAGGTGGAGCGACAGGTCTCGGGCCCTCAGGCGGAGCTGCGGGCGCCGGACCCCCAGGCGGTGCGACAGGTCTCGGGCCCTCAGGCGGAGCAACAGGTCTCGGGCCCCCAGGCGGGGCGGCGGGCGCCGGACCCCCAGGCGGAGGAGCGGCGGGCGCTGGACCCCCAGGCGGAGCGACAGGTCTCGGGCCCCCAGGCGGAGCAGCGGGCACCGAGTCACCAGGCACGACAGTGGGCTCCGAGTCAACTGGCATGACCGCTGGCACTAGGTCAGACATTGGATCGTCTGGCTGGACAGCGGGCATCGGGTCACCAGGCATCAGGTCATTTGGCTCGACAGCGGGCACCGTGTCATCTGGCAAGGCAGTGGGCTCCGAGTCAACTGGTATGACCGCGGGCACTGGGGCAGACATTGAATCGTCTGGCTGGACAGCGGGCATCGGGTCACCAGCATCAGGTCATTTGGCTCGACAGCGGGCACCGCGTCATCTGGCAAGGCAGTGGGCTCCGAGTCAACAGGCACGACAGTGGGCACCGGGTCATCAGGTACCGGATTGTCTGGCTCGACAGCAGGCATCGGGTCACCAGGTATGACAGCGGGCACTGGGTCACCAGGCATCAGGTCATTTGGCTTGCCAGCGGGCACCGCGTCATCTGGCAAGGCAGTGGGCACCGGGTCACCAGGCATTGGATCGTCTGGCTCGACAGCGGGCATCGGGTCACCAGGTATGACAGCGGGCACTGGGTCACCAGGCATCAGGTCATTTGGCTCGCCAGCAGGCACCGCGTCATCTGGCAAGGCAGTGGGCACCGAGTCACCAGGTACGACAGCGGGCCTCTGAGTCAATTGGCACGACAGCGGGCACCGGATCAGGTACCGGATCATCTGGATCAACAGCGGGCATCGAGTCAACTGGCCTAATAGGATCGTCAGGCTGGATCAGTTCATCATGCTGGTAGAGGCATCAGGCTGAATGCCGGCGTCCGGCTGAGTAGAGGCTTCAGGCCGAGTAGAGGCTTCAGGCCGAGTAGAGGCATCAGGCCGAGTAGAGGCTTCAGGCCGAGTAGAGGCATCAGGCCGAGTAGAGGCTTCAGGCCGAGTAGAGGCATCAGGCCGAGTAGAGGCTTCAGGCCGAGTAGAGGCATCAGGCCAAGTAGAGGCTTCAGGCCGAGTAGAGGCATCAGGCCGAGTAGAGGCTTCAGGCCGAGTAGAGGCTTCAGGCCGAGTAGAGGCATCAGGCCGAGTAGAGGCTTCAGGCCGAGTAGAGGCTTCAGGCCGAGTAGAGGCTTCAGGCCGAGTAGAGGCATCAGGCCGAGTAGAGGCATCAGGCTGAAGAGAGGCATCAGGCTGCATACAGGCATCAGGCTGAAGAGAGGCATCAGGCTGCGTACAGGCTTCAGGATGAGTAGAGGCTTCAGGCTGAGTAGAGGCTTCAGGCTGAGTAGAGGCTTCAGGCTGAACCACGGAAGGCAGGCTCACCGGTTTGGATACTGGCAGGATGGTATTGGTTGGAAAGAATTTTTTGCTTTTTTTTTCTTGGTTTTTAACTACTGGAGCACTGCAAGTAAAACGCAGGTCTGCAAACGAATGGAGCAGCTGGAGACAGAGAAGAACTGGAGGATGGAACAGGAGAGGGAGCAGTTGCTACAGAGGGCTTTTTTACAGGGTTAAAGGCAGGATAGGTGCAGCGAGTGGGAACAGGGTACTGACATGCGGTAGATAGCCAAGTATACTGGGCTGTAACTGGAGGAGCTGTTGGGAATACAGGAGTAGAGTTAGAAGCAGGACTGGGTTTTGTAAGCTGACTGAGGCTGGGTGCAACAAGTCTGTCCATGTCTGCAGTATGGGTTGAACAAAGCTGAGCTTACACAAAGCCTGTCTGGTCAATGACTGCACTGCGTTTATACAATCTCTTAGTGTCTGTGGTGAACATGTGGAATAACGCTCCAGAAAGTAACCCACATCATCCTCTAATAACCACACCAGGGAACTCTACCTGGTCTGCACTAAATGGTGGCAAAAATTCATCCCTGCATTCGGGGGAACCAGATGAAACCAACTCTGCACAAACCTCAATCAAAGGCTGCACCTCAGAGAACTCTGTGCCCTGATCTACTAGAAACATGAGCGAGCCGTATACATTCTAGCAGTTCATCCCGGGTATACTCCTTCAGAGTTTGATAAGCATACTCCCTGTCATCAAACACTAGCAGATATAAATACGCAACCTCATCCAGATCCATCCTTCCCATCAACAAGCCAAGATGGCTTCCCTGTGCAGCCACTTCTGGTCAGGATTGGCCTTGGTGTAATGTCAGGGCTCCCAGGTATGACCAGAGGTGTGTGACTGAAGCAGGGAAACGCAGACTTCAGATATGTGATTAACAATGTAATTTATTAACACTAACAATACAAACATAAACGCAGTGCAATACTAAACATAATACAGTGCAAACAAACCCAACCAACCACCCACAGATAACAGTACATACAAGCAAGCGTCGTCAGGCAGGCCGAGTCAATATCAATTGGGCAGGTAGGTACAGGGGGAGCAAGCGGAGAATGGTCGGGGTCACAGGCCAGGTTCAGCAGGTAGCAAGCAGCGTAGTACAGAGGGTCAGGCAGAGGGATGGTCAGGGTCACAAGCCAGGATCAGAACAGGTAGCAAGCAGCGTAGTACAGAGGGTCAGGCAGAGGGATGGTCAGGGTCACAAGCCAGGGATCAGAACAGGTAGCAAAGGAACAGAAACAGGATGCAGGACAGATACAGGGCCCAGGACAAACACAACACCAAGGCAGAGTCTGCAAGTCTGGCCATCCCTTAAATACACCAGTATCATCAGTTCCAGGTGTTAGCTGGCTGAAAGGTTGAGTCTCTGATTGCTGGGAGCACCCGCTGGCCAGCCCTGGTACTGCAGATCAAAAGGCAGGTGAGTCCCACCATTGCTGGCCAGTCCATTCCTGACAGTCCCTGAGTAACAATTCTGTGTCCCTCAGTAACAATTCTGTGTCTGTCCCCCGAGTAACAATTCTGTGTCCCTCAGTAACAATTCTGTGTCCCTGAGTAACAATTCTGTGTCCCTCAGTAACAATTCTGTGTCTGTCCCTGAGTAACAATTCTGTGTCCCTGAGTAACAATTCTGTGTCCCTGAGTAACAATTCTGTGTCCTCTCAGTAACAATTCTGTGTCCCTCAGTAACAATTCTGTGTCTGTCCCTCAGTAACAATTCTGTGTCCCTCAGTAACAATTCTGTGTCCCTCAGTAACAATTCTATGTCTGTCCCTGTGTAACTGTGTCCCTCAGTAACAATTCTGTGTCCCTCAGTAACAATTCTGTGTCTGTCCCTCAGTAACAATTCTGTGTCCCTGAGTAACAATTCTGTGTCCCTGAGTAACAATTCTGTGTCCCTCAGTAACAATTCTGTGTCCCTGTGTCTGTCCCTGAGTAACAATTCTGTGTCCCTCAGTAACAATTCTGTGTCCCTCAGTAACAATTCTGTGTCTGTCCCTGAGTAACAATTCTGAGTAACAATCCTGTCTGAGTAACAATTCTGTGTCCCTCAGTAATAATTCTGTGTCCCTCAGTAACAATTCTGTGTCCCTCAGTAGTAACAATTCTGTGTCCCTCAGTAACAATTCTGTGTCTGTCCCTGAGTAACAATTCTGTGTCTGTCCTGAGTAACAATTCTGTGTCCCCTCAGTAACTTCTGTGTCTGTCCCTCAGTAACAATTCTGTGTCTGTCCCTGAGTAACAATTCTGTGTCTGTCCGAGTAACAATTCTGTGTCCCTCAGTAACAATTCTGTGTCCTCAGTAACAATTCTGTGTCCCAGTCCCTGAGTAACAATTCTGTGTCTGTCCCTGAGTAACAATTCTGTGTCTGTCCCTGAGTAACAATTCTGTGTCTGTCCCTGAGTAACAATTCTGTGTCCCTCAGTAACAATTCTGTGTCCCTCAGTAACAATTCTGTGTCCCTGTAACAATTCTGTGTCCTCAGTAACAATTCTGTGTCTGTCCCTGAGTAACAATTCTGTGTCTGTCCTGAGTAACAATTCTGTGTCCCTCAGTAACAATTCTGTGTCCCTCAGTAACAATTCTGTGTCCCTGAGTAACAATTCTGTGTCCCTGAGTACAACAATTCTGTGTCTGTCCAGTAACAATTCTGTGTCCCCAGTAACAATTCTGTGTCTGTCCCTGAGTAACAATTCTGTGTCCCTCAGTAACAATTCTGTGTCCCTGAGTAACAATTCTGTGTCCCTGAGTAAGAATTCTGTGTCCCTGAGTAACAATTCTGTGTCCCTCAGTAACAATTCTGTGTCCCCCAGTAACAATTCTGTGTCCCTGTCCTGAGTAACAAATCTGTGTCCCAATTCTGAGTAACAATTCTGTGTCCCTCAGTAACAATTCTGTGTCCCTCAGTAACAATTCTGTGTCTGTCCCTGAGTAACAATTCTGTGTCTGTCCCTGAGTAACAATTCTGTGTCCCTGAGTAACAATTCTGTGTCCCTGAGTAACAATTCTGTGTTCCTCAGTAACAATTCTGTGTCTGTCCCTGAGTAACAGTTCTGTGTCCCTGAGTAACAATTCTGTGTCCCTCAGTAACAATTCTGTGTCTGTCCCTGAGTAACAATTCTGTGTCTGTCCCTGAGTAACAATTCTGTGTCTGTCCCTGAGTAACAATTCTGTCTGTCCCTGAGTAAACAATTCTGTGTCCCTAAGTAACGGTTCTGTGTCCCTAAGTAACGGTTCTGTGTCCCTAAGTAACGATTGTGTGTCCCTAAGTAACGGTTCTGTGTCCCTAAGTAACGGTTCTGTGTCCCTAAGTAACGGTTCTGTGTCCCTAAGTAACGATTCTGTGGCCCTAACTCTGTCCCTCAATACAGACAGGTCTGTCTCTCTTGAATGACTGGAGGCTAATGGAGAATTCTAAAATGGCCGCAATTTATAGCTCGACCATTACACAGTGCTGGCTGGCTGGCTGCTGATTGGCTAATGCGATCACATGTCACGAATGAATGCATTATGGGTCAGCGCGCCTTGTCTGCGCGCCTTCCCAGAGATCCCCGTTCCGTCGCCGCACATGTCGCCGCCATTTTTGGAAAAATTTCGATTCGAATCGAAATTTTCCTAATATTCGAAACGAATTCCACTTCGCCAAGTTCGATTCGCTCATCTCTAAACATAATATCTAATAATTGGAACCATCGACATGCATAAGAATACAATTCAGTTGTAAA